ACCTGTCTCTGTGTTTTTTTTTATGGGCTCACGAGATTCAGCAGCCTACGTTACGCCCCTGTCTCTGAGTTTGAGTTCACTGTGTGCTTTTTGATACCAGTGTTTGCCAGTGACATTGATCTTTAACATGTGTTCCAGTCATGTAGGTCTGTGTGGGTTTGGTCACCATTGCAGCCTATTCTTCAAAAGCACAGTTGGTATATCAAATGTTCGGGATCACGATTTTTGCAGTTACAATGACGTCACATTGTCTTTCTGGTGGCCTCTCATCCTTAATATCTCTATCCATCCTAATTAACGTAGCTTCCTTTCAAGACACATCCCTCCACTCAGAGGGTCCAATTTCCAGAGATGGTCTCAGATGTATGTAAAGGATTGGTTTATTACTGTACCGGGGCTCAATGCGTACTCAGCAGAGTGAGTCATAATCCATATTGTTCCTGATCTGAAATAATGAGCCACTATTCTTCTGAGGGATCTTCTTCATGGTACTACTGTATATGCTTTAATATATTGTAGCATGCAGGAGCAACATTCATATTGTAAAAACTAGGATATTTTACTCATATTTATGTTTACTGTGTCAATATATTCTATTTGGGATATGGTCCATAAAAGGCTAAAAAAAATAATAAATATTGAATGACTAATGTAACAGGCATGCCTTTTATGACCTTAGTGAAAATGTACAATACATGTATACATACATCAGCTTACATTAACAAGCCTATTTGACAGCGATATGTACATGTTACAAAAACTGTATATTTAAATGATAAAGTATCACATATACAGTGTAATGTACTGATGTTGGCCTGCGGTCAGAAACCTTTTTTGTGGGGATGGGAGAAGCTGAAACAGTTTGTATTCAAAGAGGACATTTCATTGCATCAATAATCACAGTTTCATGCACACCTTGTCACAATAAAAGTTACATTATATATGCCTCAATATAAAGTAGCAATGATGATGATAATGATGATTCTTAAATAATCTTTATTATGAAATATTAATTAATTAGTATAACAGTTAATATATTTTACTTATATTTATGTTGACTGTATCAATATATGCTATGTGGAATATTATTCATAAGCTACGAACACTTAATTATTATTGAATGTCAAATTGATATGTAGGATTTTACTGCATCCAGAAGAAGATCCGGCTTTACGTTCAGACATAGCAAAGTCTCGCATGCATATGCACTGTGGACGTCCAGGATCGGCTTTATTAATAAATATGCAAAACCCATTTTCTAGGTTATCTAACAGATTTTGACTGCTGATTTGAAAATGCATATGCAAGCCCATGTCACATTACGTTTCATTTTTACATTATGCTGAGTTTATGTAGTACGATATATTTTACTGACGTGGAATGGAAATTTGTGGATCATATGAGAAATGTGTTTTCAATTTGACCTAATGAATTCACCTTACCATAGACAAACCTTCCATAGCACAAATGCCTTATTATACCATATGCTCAGGTCCTCCACTTTGCCTTTTCAACCTGCCCGATGATAAGCCCTCTTTGCATGCAAAATCCAGTCATTGATATAAAAACCCTCTCCGCTTTCTAATAGCAGTTTTTAAATGTATTTATGTTTGTCATCTTACAGCATTCAAGATGAACAAGCAGTGCTAGAAGTACTCAGATCCTTTACTTAAAGGTCTCTATACGACACTCAGAACATTCAATAAGTAGAGTGTTTTTATTACATTAAATGGTTATTATTGCTGATATGATGGATGCAATATATTTATTATGCTTTGCCTTGTGCACAAAAAAAATGACTCACTCGTTACTATCTTACTAGCTCATACAAAATGCCGTGCAGGCTTTACAACAAGGAGTGATCATTCCTCTTCTTCATCATCAATCAAGTCCATACACTTCAGGCCTTAAAACCTTTTCAAACATATCCTGTTTCCCTTTTGATAAGTTGCTTTTTCCAGCGGAAGACTAACACAAATACTTCAGTAAAGTACAGGTATCTGAGAGTATAGTACTTGACAAGGTACTTTTCACCACTGCAAACAAGCAGTTAGTTGAAGCTGAAAAAAACAACTTAAGACATTTGTTGTATTCTCTGGGAAGTGTTTTCATGTGTGTGTGAGATGCCATTGTGTAAGTCATACTGAACCACTTGCATCCACTAGGAAAGCTGCTCATTATCTAAATATTAAAATGCATTTACAGAGCATGAGTGAGGAAACTTATTTCTGCATGAGTAATTCAAAATGAATGAATGAATATATGAATGGCTACAGTGCTTGGTTTGCAGCGGCTCTTTCCCACCTTAGAGTTCATATTAAAGAGCGACACACATAATTAGCTTGGAAGTAGCTCTGTGGACATTAGTCAGAGGGCATCGGTGTGGGTGGATGGGTGGATGTGCCCTTTACTTTGACAGGGTACAAGAAAGATCTGTAGCTCCACTGCAGGAAACACGTCATGGCAAAGGCACTGCGAGACGACAGCAGAGAAAGGAAAGACGTAAGCAAAGAAGAAAAAATAAAATTAAGAAACAACTTATGCAAATGTTGCTCTCATAACACAATTTCAGCACCCTTGCCTCTGTGTTTTTATGTTCATGGACAGAATAAAACCTTTCTGATGGGCCAACAGAGAAACTCAATACACTGAAAGGGAGCATTGTTCCATCTCAGAAGTATGTCAAGAGCACAACATCAACACCCACAATACTCGATAGAAACGATGCCTATTTATCTTGTGAATCCTTGTTATTTGCTTCATAAGGTGATATCAACACATCACTCTCAGGTCACCAATAAGGTCACTGCAGGATGGGGGTGAGAGGCACCGACATTCATCATTTGTCCACCTAAGATTGAGAGTATTAAAGGTCAGGTAAAAGATGTAAATATTGTCCTGTGTCCTCTCGCTGTAGAGAAACACTCAACTCTAATGAAAATATTTTCCAATGGATATACTTAGAGCTTTTAAATATCCCCTCTTGTGGTGCGCATTAGATGGACCTTTCCATTTTCACATAATGCTTGGAACTCAACATTGCTGCTGTTCATTTTGTGTTTCTCTGGAATACAGAGCATTAAAAGTTGTTGTGGTTTAGACTGAGCCATGTGATGTGTTGTGCTCACATTTACCGCATGTACCGGAGTATCTGCAGTAACATCAGAGGCCAGTGTTTACTATAAATGTACCATCTGTTCTGATCATGAAAGCACAGTGTACTTAAAACCCACATGTTGGAATCCGCAGCCCGCAGGGGAACAAACCACCTCGGATTACAAGTCAAATGTTAACCAATTGAGCTGTAGGTGAGGATGGCCTGATGCAGAATGTGTTGCTTTTCATAACAGGAATCCTCATGAATCATCTTCTGGGAACTTTTTTAATGCTTTCTTTAAAAATTCCCATTCGTTCTGCTGAGTACATTTTCAATCCACTGGAAAGTTTATAACCAAGGTTGAAGTTCTGCCTTAAAAGAACACTGATTAACATTTTGCCTGCAGAAAGATTGTCACAGCTACATTTCAATGGACATAATCCCATCTGAGAAGAGACCATCTCCAGTGCTCCAAATCACAAAAACAATTCCACATTTTTCTGTTCGAAATGGCTGCTTAAAAGGTGACGGACTCATGATGTGTAGTCTAATTAGCAAATGACTCAAAGATAATAAAAAAAACGGTGGAATATTGAGCTTGACTGCTTGTGCTTTGTACTTATACACACAATTTCAGTGCAAAAATCTTGTCTGCACGTCACCCACTGAAACCTTTCAAAGCAGTGGCGATATTTTAAAGCGTATGAAAGTTTATGGAAGGTTGTGATCATGTTTTGCTTTATCAATCAACGTGCCCCATTCATTTTTCTTCATCATTATTTTTGGTTTCCAGAGACATTTACTAGATCCCAGCTGATTGTCAGTGTACGTGTGTAGACTGACATTCTGTTGATTAGTCCTCACCCTGCCTGTCACAGTTTATTGCACCCTCCTCCCCCAACTGAAAGATCAGGGTGTTAGTCACCTTAAAATGCATTGGGTTTAGTCAACCTTGTCTAATAACAGCGGTACGACTGTGAAGGTGTGTTCTCCCATCTCATCGGGTTCTCGGAAGCTTCTCTCAGTTGAACAGGAAGTACAGCTTTGTCAAGATGATAAATGGTTTGTCGCTATGAAGGATGATGCCCCCCCAATGCAAACCATAGGACTGATTACTTGAGACGTTCCCCTTTTGACCTTGTAAAATGTACAGTACCAAAATGGCCTTCTAGTCCCACACTTTGCAGATTTAATCATAAATCATTTAATCCAGAGTTTGGCTGGAGTAAGAAAATAAATAATGAGGAAGAGTCAGACAGTTCCTTTCCTTTTTGTTCAGTGTTTTTAAGGGTTTACTGCAACTGCACACCACTAATTATAAATTATTGATGATCGCAGAGCTTGTTTCTTTTTGCAAATACATTAAACTGTAGCACCCCTTCTCTCTTTCATCTCGATCCATCAGCCATCCTTTCATTCTCTCCAGGTGGCCAGAAAACAAGCAGTATCACTGTGACCTCTCAGAGAGAGCAGAAAATCAATAAAACTCTTCATGTGTTTTGTACACAACATGTCGTTGTAGTTGAAATTACAAGAGGCATACTGAGTCTCAGAGTGAGGGTAAAATACTAATTAAAAATGACCTACATTAGTTCTGCCAATAGAGAAAAAAATATATACTTAATGTTAAATTAATCTTGGGAATAGCGCCGTTATTGTGAAGAGGCTTGCTATTTCCGGATAGACATGTGTATTTCACACAAATATGACGTCGTCAGTCACAACACCAGCGATTGGTCGTCGCAGCCACGGGGACGGCCCTTCTCGTTCTTTCATTGGCTACGTTATTAAACCCCCTCTACCTGATTGGCCCGGAGCGTCGCTCAGCTATTGGCTGAATTTACGCAACGACAATTTGAAAATCGGTGTTCACGTTCACAGAGTGAGAGCTGCACGGAGAAAGGAAGAAAGGAAGAAAGGCAACGTCCAGGACGTAATCTGTTTAAAAACAAAGGTAAGAGCTGAATAAAAGTGTTCCAGTCACTACATTTAAAGTTCATTTCGCTCGCGCAGTTATGTTTAATTGTTTCATTATGATCTAGCAGTATCAGATGATTGTGTTGATTAAGCACAGCTGCAGTTCAGGGAGTTAAACATAAACCGTTGTGTTTACTGTTTCATGCACATTGTTTAAATCTCCGTCTGAGCAAACTGATTCACTGTTGATTCAATGTGAACTCTTGTATTTGGCAGAAAGTGTGTGCTATGTTAGACGGGGAGGACGGTGCCCAGCTGCAGTGCTGTGTGGCGGTGGAGCAGCTGAACGCCTCCGGTCAGGCCACCCGGAGGCAGGTCATCCGTAAAGCTTCGGTTATTCTGGGCCGGAATGAGTTCCAGGAGATTCTCCTCCGGGTCCACGACGGAAAAGTCCCGCAAACTTACCATCTCAAAGACTTCAAGCTTTTTACAAAGTTCGCCAGAGAAGGGAAGTGCACCGTGAAACTGCTCCCTGAAAACATCCAGGTGCTCATCTCCAACTGCCCCCCTGACCGGCTGAACCTCTTCCTCAAAACCCTGAGCATCAAACACCAGGCCCGGCTGAGCAGCAAGCCTATGACCGATCGAGAGAAGCTCAAAGCCGGCCTTCCCCGCAGCTTCGAGGCCATCAGCCCCCTGCAGCAAAAGGATATACAGACGGTCAATGAGCTGAGGAGCAAAGTGGCGCCCAAAGGGCTGGCAGACCGCACTAATAGGACGACTGTAGCAGGAACAGGACAGCAGGTCAAAAGGTCGAGAAGTGACACTAACTTCAGCCCAGTGAGTGGAACAAACAACACACACAACACCTTTCCCCCCCCCCTCATCACAGTGCGTTAATCTGCAGCAGACTACTGCCCCAACATGTCCCTCCTGCATCCATTACATACGTCTTTTGTATCTAATCAGTTGAATGTGTTGATTGTTTCAGGTGAAAGCCAACCCGAGCAAAAAGCCCATCCTGTCTCTGGCATCGCGTAAGCTGAATAAAGACCAGGCCGCTGTTCTCACTGCTGTGCTGAGTGGCAAGAACGTCTTCTTCACTGGAAGTGCAGGTAAATATATGACTATATATTAAAGCTACATTTTCACAAAAAGTTGGTACTAGATGTCTAAAAAGATATGCTTGCTGATGCATTCTGCAGAACTGTTTTACTGAATTATGTTATGCATTAATGATGCTGCTATATAGTAAGTTTAGTTTAGTAGGTTTGTCACTATCATTATTTCTGCAAGAAATTCTGATGTAAATCTCCTTTGACACATTTATGGAGTTTTCCCTCTGATGATAAACAAGTGGAATTGTCAGTTTTAAGCTCCTTTTTTTTTTTTTAATGTGTGTTTTTCAGGCACAGGAAAGTCCTTCTTACTGAAGAGAATCATGGGATCTCTTCCTCCAAAAAGCACATTTGCCACAGCCAGCACAGGAGTGGCTGCATGTCACATCGGAGGAACGACACTACACAACTTTGCTGGTGAGTCGTTGTCTCTGAGGAGACTTTAAGAAAAACTGACACAAATGTGTCTCTGGAACCAGTGAATGTTTCCTTGAAAAATGACTGAATCAAGTAACAGAAAAGTGAACGTAACATTTTTTGTGTTAACCTTTCTTAGAGTATTTCTGACTATGAATCTTTATTATAATGGAGGAGGTGGTGTCGGGTGTCTCTCCATATTAACAAATGTGTTTAATTAAATCTCAATATATAGGAGAAGGTGTGATTTGAGTATCTGTTTTTCCGCTCTCCTGTACTCGTGCTCTCTCCAGGTATTGGCTCCGGCTCTGCCCCGCTGGAGCAGTGCATCGAGCTGGCCCAGAGGCCCGGGGTGCTGCAGCACTGGACCAGCTGTCGACACCTCATCATCGACGAGGTCTCCATGGTGGAGGCCCAGTTCTTTGATAAGCTTGAGGCAGTGGCAAGGTGAGACGACGGTCTAAGAAATCACCTTGTGATGCCGCAGTGTATCGTAATAGAAGTATTTAATGAAGTAAGTTAGAGATGTTTTCTGTTTGAGAGATGTTTGGCTACCGTCTGTGTCATTATTTATTTTTATGCTAAAGACGGGTGCACATTTTCTTAAGTGGCTCTAGTTATGAAATTACATTTGCATATTCTATTAAAAATATGATTTACATTGAGTGTTTTGTATGCCAAGTTTTCCTGAAAGTCTTTGACATTATGTTTAGGATACGTGCTCATGATACCAAGCAGCCCAAACCACAGACCTCAACTATACATCTGACTGATTTTATAATTCTTGACATTTTTACACAAATTATACAAATGCATGTCTAGTCTCTGGTTATGACTCACTTCATTAATGCTCTTCCAGACAGCTAGTGTTGGGTAAACATTTATACTTTAAAAAATGGTAAAGTAAGATTTGAGGTTTGAACTGGGTATTGAAAAATGAAATGGAAGAATAGAAGTTGTAAATGTTCATAAAAACATACACTCGTGATGTTTGCAGTGAAGCAAAATGTTAAATTCAGTTTCCAAACACATTTTGGGACACTTGAGACTTAAATCTCCTCTTCAATATCCGTTTACATTATGATTTTCCTGTTTAGTGACGGCATTAAAGTACAGTTGGACTTCCAGCATGAAGAATTTTAACACATCAACAGTGGCGTTATTAATTCCAATTTGCTTTTTGTTACAATTCATGGTTCCAGTTAAAATAGATAATTTATTGGGTTTTATAGAAGCTCAGCAGTGCTCTGATTCGGAGCTATGTTAAGCAGCGATATTGAAGTTGTATAACTATATACTCATCTTTAGTGACTGGCATCTTCTCGCTGCACTCTTGTAGGTCGGTGAGAAGGTCCACTGAGCCGTTCGGGGGCATCCAGCTGATCATATGTGGCGACTTCCTCCAGCTGCCTCCGGTTTCTAGGGGAAAGGAAAAGGCCAGCTTCTGCTTCCAGGTCAGACCACTGTGGATCTCTTATGTTTGTTTGTCATTGATTTAGTAACACTGTGGTCAGTAAGCTGAAAGGATGGGTTGAATGCAGAGGTCAAATATCATGTATGCATGAATGCAACAATATAAATATAGTTTACATTTTAACCTGTTTATAATCTGTTGTGATTCAATACAACAAGTAAGCAACAAATCCTGCTTTAAAAGAAAAAAAAAAAAGATTATAATGAATTCATCAGAATGATCATTCAACTCATGAGATGTAGTTGTTAAAGGAATTATATTTTTTGTGTGCTTCTCATCTAAATGGAAATATAAACTTGGGTATAAAATGCTGCTGTGCTTTGGGACTGTAGAGGTGTTCCTAATTTTCTGTTTACATCAGTGTATGTGCTGAGAGGTTGATATAAGTACCTGCGAGTCGGTACTGTTCAAAGTCATTAACATTTGTTCTAGGGTGTTCCCATGAGCCAGCAGCTCTCCTACACACTATGTGCTTACTTCCTGAAGAGCATTAATGCTCTAGTCTAGTCTATAGCATATAATATGAGAAATGTTTCCCTCTTCCAGGCCAGGAGTTGGCGTAAGGTCATCCGGGTCAACATGGAGCTAATGGAAGTGCGAAGGCAAACTGACCAGTCCTTCATCTCTCTCCTGCAGGCAGTGAGGCTGGGCAGGTGACGTAATGGGCACTGTCCTTTTTTTTTTTTTTTTTTTTTTTCTCCCCCCCCCCCCTTTCTTTCAAGCAATTGAATTGCCAAAATGTGCTTTTTGTACAGCTAATGTGATTCCAGTGCACATCCATTATGACCAAATGTACAGGTTAATGTGTTTACGTGCATTACATATGCTTTTAGGGCATTTACCGGTCTTTCAGGCATAGCTTTTTGTAAAGGAAAAGTTGTCTTAATGAACACCATTCAGGGTGACGGAGGACGTCACCGCTAAGCTGATGGACAGCGCCTACCATCATATTGAGAGGGACGGCGTTCTAGCGACCAGGCTGTGCACGCACAAGGCCGATGTGGAGCTCACAAACGAGAACAAACTCCAGCAGCTGCCAGGTCTGAAGGGTTCCGTTTGATTATGTTGTGCTTTTCCACTTGAACAGGCGTCACTTTGTCTGGTTCGAATCCAAGTAAAAATAGGACTTGTAAAGATAGGCCTTGTTAAAACCTATTTCCACAAGATATTTTCAGTCTCCGCCAGATGCCAGTTATTTTCTGATGTATCCTGTAACGGTACCTTTTTTTTATTTTGTTAGCATTAGCTGCATCAGGAAATTGGAAGGAGTGTGTTTGACCCCCTGTGGCAGCAGTTTAAAAGGTGTTGCTTTCAGACTGTTTCCAACAACAGGTTTCATGTGGGTTTTTTTTTTTTTTGTTTCATACTCTATCTTTTAGGTTCTTTACATGACTGTTTACGTTTAATATTAGAAAATATAAGTTTCCTATGTAGTGAATCTTTCCTTGTCCCTCAGGGTCTGTGCGCGTGTTTGAGGCACTGGACAGCGACCCAGCTCTGGTGAAGACCATAGACGCTCACAGCCCCGTCAGCAGACTGATCCAACTCAAAGTTGGAGCTCAGGTGAGCACATGCAACATCGCACTTTTCTTATGTGTTGAGCGTACTGCGCTCAGTTTGAGCGAAGACACTGTTTGAAATGTAACGCTTGTTCTTTTTAAGGTCATGCTGACTAAGAACCTGGATGTTGCTCGAGGTCTGGTGAACGGAGCGCGAGGGGTTGTGGTGGCTTTTGAATCTGGAAAACATGGTTGGTATTTGAATTATTATTATTATTATCTTGAAACATATTGCAGAAATATTGTAATGTTGTATATTTAGTTGTAATAACATAAAGGCTTAGTGGCAAGAGAATTGCATAGGATTACTTTCATGAATAGTCACTGGAGGGTATTTCAAAGGAGAATAACTTATGGTCTGTCATGTTGTATCAGCGGTTTAAGGCAGAAACAAAATGGCCAATGCCCTTAATGAAAATACAGATAAAGTCTTCTCAGTAATAACGGTGATGGTAGATTCTCATCCATCCATGTACTGACTCATTCCCTTCAGGACTCCCGCGTGTGCATTTCCTGTGTGGTGCCACAGAGGTGCTGAAGCCCAAGCACTGGGTGTTCAAGTCTGGCGGTGGGATCCACCTGAGTCGACAGCAGCTGCCACTCCAACTGGCCTGGGCCATCTCCATCCACAAGAGCCAGGTGAGAACAGGTTCAGTCACGGCCACATGGTGGTTTGACTACAGCTCTCACAGAAACACTGAGACGGGTCCCCACCAAACCACTATGATGACATCGCTCTGTTTGTGGAGGACTCGTTTCCGTGTTGCCATGGGACACCAGTGCTTTGTGTGCGTTTCTCTTGAATGCTAACTCGCATGACGAATGGCTTCAATTCAAGAATTCAATTAGCCTGAAACTAATTCATTTTGCATTTGTATTGCATTTGTAGTTGCCTCTAGACGGCTAGAAATGGCTTCGGGTTTAATTGCAGTGTTTTGTACAGACATTCATGATCCACAGAGGATACACCCTCAACGTTTTAGGTCCTCTAACTTTTTCTCTAGTGCCTCCAGCAGGCCAGAGTTTCCACTGGTGAAATATCTCCATATCTACGGGATGTATTGGCACAACATTTTAGAGCTGACAATTTTTGGTTCCCGGATGATGAAATAAATGAAGAAAGAAATTTTATCAGAAGACAAAGATTCCTACTTGGTTTCAAAATCACACAACAGGCAGAGAGAAACTCGGGCAAGGTGAGTGAGAACAGGCACAATAATGCTATTGGATGTGGGAAATTGCTAGAGGCCCGGTCAGACGCTCTGCACCCCAACCCACTATTAAAGCAATCCCACAAATGAGCTGTAACGATGTAATCGCAACCACTCAGCTGCCTCCCCGCCATCAGTCTGAGGTCAGCAAATTGACCTCAGACTGATATTGGTTAGAGAGGAAAAGGGTTCCTTTTAGGTAATGGAATTCATTGGTCATGACCAATGTTTGATCTACAGCAGAGAAGCTAAAGCACGTGGAAATAATAAGGAAATCCCACACCTGCAGCCCTTCACAGGAAATGAGTGGACATAACGGAATAAATTGGCTTGTCCATTTGCTTTTCTGACCTGCTGTGTCTTTTTCATTTGTTTTAGGGAATGACACTCGACTGTGTGGAAATCTCTCTAGCTCGGGTGTTTGAGAGCGGTCAGGCCTACGTGGCCTTGTCTCGGGCTCGGAGCCTGGAGGGTTTGCGGGTGATGGACTTTGACCCCCGTGTGGTCAGGGCAGATTCAGACGTTTTAGTCTTCTACAAGAAACTGAGGAAAGAGAGGCTGCTCATGCAGGTGAATGCAGAGCTTTTCCTCGTCTCATTGTCATAACCTATGGACGGCGTTGATTTGATGACTCAGCTTTTCATGAAATGCAGTTGGTTCAACCATGACCTGTTGAGTGCATTGAATACAAATTACTGTAGGATCACAATATTGACACATGAAAACACACTCGAGACGTCACACCAGAGCTGCAGAAGTTCCTTTTTTCAGGATGCATTTTCTCACACTACTCGGTCTTGTCACGTGACTTGTCTCCTCTTCCCTCTGCAGGCCTCCATGGATGACTTTCTTGGCTACAGCAACAAAGAAAACTCTTGAGGTGGTGAATTAATCTACATCTGCTGTGACATTATGCACTGTGTGTGTGAATTATCTGCATGTTATCAGCCTCTTGTTACTCTTGGGACAATTTGATTTTCTTAAAGGAAAGCAACCAGAGACATCTACAGTCAGTCTACCTCATGGTTTGTTTTTGCAGCACTTGAAGTCACACTGCCACCTTCTGGTCATTTGCTTTTTTTTATGCCTTTATTTTTTAATTTATTATCATTTTTGGTATTTATTCCAATAAAGTTTTAGCCAACATGTATCTGTGGATCATTATTGTTATAGAGCCTTCTGTATGCCCGACCATTACTTACTACCACACACACCAATCCAACAGATTTAACAGTACCTCCCCAACCTGAGTTGTATGTGAAATGTAAGAGGCAGCAAACCTACAGGGTGTCATTACTCTGAAATAGGCCCCAAGTGTTCTGATACCATATTATCCAATACTGCATGTATAAGTAGTAGTATCTCCCTTTGTCACATATTGCCAAACAGTGCTCCCTGACATCTGACACATTTTCTCTTGTATCACACCCACAACCAAAGACATCCTCTACGGCTGAATAAATTGTGCCCCGAGTCAACCAGGCCATCACTTCCATTTTTATCACAGTAATCGAGTGTTACAATGATGCAACTCGGGCAGGCTTGATACCAAAGAAAACATTTATTTAAGTTGGAACAATGAATCCATGGCCAAACCTGAGTAGAGACATTCATTGCCAGAGAAGCAGGTTTGCTTTTGCATGTGAACTGACCAGTGAGAACGATCTGAGCCCTTCTTTGATGCCCTCATTACCTACAAGCAGTGACTTGTATTTGACAGACTGCTTCTGACCCCATCTACACAAGTATGCACTGTATACAGAAAGCGTGGCGCGTATTTAGTCCAGGAACCCAAGAAACTTCTTTTACATTAATACACAGGAGAACAGAGGAATATTGAGTATTTTAGCAGTTAAATTGATTTTGCAGCTGGTCAGGAGGTTATTTCACGTTATGGAACAGCTTGTGTGCCACCTATAAAGATAAAGGAGAACATAGTCAGCATCTCTAGTGGAAGAAATATGTACAAATTATCTCTTTCAAAAATCAAGTCGCATGCAGTCTGGTTTCTCATATGCCATCTGGGCAGTGAACAGGAAAAGAGAGGCACATCGTATTTTCCCTCTACTTCCACCCTCTGTTTGTGCCACTTACACAATGATCCCGTGCATGCAGGAAGTCAAACAGTTCTTCTGTGCATTCTTCAGCAGTGCTGGATTTGGAGCCAACTCTGGCTGCACAGGTCTCCAGACGCTCCATGTAGTGCACACAGTGATCGGTCTGCTCACACTTGGTTCGTATCGTATCTAGAGGATCCTGAGGAGAAATGTGGTCAAAATACACTTAAAAGCATCAAGAGTAAAAGTACTAATTATGCAGAACTGTCCATTTTACACTAATGTGAATGATACTATTGGATTGATGCTGCTGCAGGATTAGATGGGGCTAATTTAATTACTTTATATGCTGATGGGTAACTTGTGAACTTCCCACGGGGGTCAATAAAGTTTATCTAATCTTGCCTATAATATACCATAATTTATTCGTTTAATATAATGTATTAATCTGAATCTGCAAAGTAATTAAAGCAAACCAGATAAATATAGTGGAGTTAAAAAAGTACAATATTCATCACTGAATTTAGTAGAGTACAAGTATAAAGCAGCTGAAAATTTAGATACTGAAGTACAAGTACCTCAGAAATTGTACTTGGGTACAGTACTTAAGTAAATACTTAGTTACTCTGTCCATCACCGATTCTGTACTGTCATATAGTGGTATACCTAAATATCACTCTGCTCAGTGTTTTTTTTATTTGCCCATTTCTGTCCTTGAAGGTTTATTCCTTTATAAAGATATGTTACGTGTCTAGTGTCCAAACTTTCAACATTTTTGTGTTCTGAGAAAACTGTGTGTGGCAAGTGAGATCTTCTTGGGTTCTATCAAGAACAAACTTACCACCATGTCTTCTTCCTCCTCCTCCTCTTCTTCCTCTTCCTCCTCTGCCTCTTCTTCCTCAGCTGGCACATCTTCCTCCTGGTCAAGGACATTAATAAAAAGGACATTTAGTTAGTTTGGTCTGAAAACGTTTTGAAATGGTACATTTTATTACAACTAAAGTCTACCCACAAATAATTGTACAAATAAAACTCAAATCACAATCAAACATACTTTATTAATTCATAATTTAGTGGTTATTTTAACAGATTGGTGAACATCCAAATAACTGGTTGACACTGGTGTTGCAATCAGAGAGTTACCATGGACCGATCATAGTAAAGCCGAGCAAGAAATCTCTAAAAACTCTAACTCATGCACAGTTTGTGTTACAATTTAAGCCCCATCTACGTCTGGCGCTACAATTCATATCTACACGTCTTCAAAAGACTTAACACTGAACTCCTTACACCGACAATCTGACCAGAGTCATAGCACTGAGTTGGGTAACGTAACATGGCCAAACGCGCGCACACACACACACAAAAAGCGACTGAAAATACAAATATATCTGCCTTTTTTTCAATACCTCGTCGTCGGGGTCGCCGTACGTGAGCATCTTCCTCTCAAAAACCATGATTACGACACTGAACTTCTCCAAAAATCCCGGCAGAGGACAGAAATCCCAGCTCGTCAGCTGCACCGCTGTTCGTTGAGGACGTGAGGTCGTTCATACGGAAGAAACGAAGTGAAGGAACCCCGGGTGTGTCCTGATAACGTTTCTTATTGGTTGAAAGTGGTTACTGAAGTTGCTCTGATCCAATCAGTGACGGGTTTGTGTAAAACCAGCCTTTACGAGTAATAACTGCCGGCGGAACGTTTCTTTTGGCTGTCGTAGCGACGACGGACCAAAATAGCTGTTGCACGACAAGATGGCGCTGCTCTTGGACACTAGGCTTTTACTGAGGAAAGTTAAAGATTTAAGATGTTTAACGCCAAGACGAAACCGAGTGAAGGAAAAATGGGTAGGTTAATAATGCAGAAATAGACAAAGCAGTTGATACAGTTCGTTACCTGTAAAATTATTTCCTCCCTCAGAGGTTAATTTTTATTCAGTTTGGTTCTGTCCAGAATATCTAACATACAATACGTATTAAAAAGAAAGTATTACATTTTGACTTTAACTATCGGTATCTATAGCATGGCGAATTTAATCAATGAGAGCTGGAAAAAAAAAAACGTTACTCTGAAACTAAAAATATACAATATCTTTAATTATTACTAGCTAAATGTAATCAATGAAACGGTAAACTCATGAAATCGTTAAGTATAAGACATACATGAATTAACTTTATAGTGAGTCTGTTGTTCTCTCATACAGTGTAATGAAATCTACATCATTTTATTCGTTTTTTATTAAAGGATATACAATTGTACACTAGCATGGCAGTTACCCATGGCCATGCTAGTTAACATCCTCCCCCCAATTGTACATGTTTCACTTAAATAATTAAACTCACAAAATAGAACATCAAAGCAAGTAAACATTTTAAATCAGTATTTTGACCTCTCTGCTTTCTTACAGGCTGTCACACGCACCAAGCACCCGCCCACCAGTCTGGCTCTGCAGCACTTTGATTCCACCTACAGCGTCCAGCTGTGCCAGCTGTGGCCATCGGTCCGAGCCGCCTTGCTGTCAGAGAAGAAATACGGAGCCCTGCTCAATAACTTCTGCCATGATGCTGTTCTGGCAAACCTCGAAGCCCAGGGATGCAGAGACTTCCTCAGTGACACAGATACTGAAGGTAGGTGTGCATCCTCCAAGGCTCAATGTACTTACTAATGCTATGTCAAGCCATGCATGTAGAACTTTAAAAACAAAAATGTTTTTGTTTGCTGCAAAAAGCCACTTGCATGTCGTTCTTCTCTGAAAGCCTCAATATTAAACTCGTGTTTTTTCATCTCATTGAAAAGCGCAATATCTCTCCTCATGATGATCAATTCTAAATTCTTGATTGTTTCTGCAGCTCAGCCAAGCTCGGAGCAAGAATCTGAGGTTGCGGCCGATGAGGAAGCCAGTGGTGTTTCCATACCTAAGAAGTCTGACATTGATGGTCAGCAGCTACCTCCCCTACACCTCAGTCCTCACATCAAGTGCTTCGTGTTTCCAAGAGGGGATATCACAAGATTCAAGCCCGCTAGGTGAGTTCATCCGTTACTTACTGGACAAACATTTAAAATCGATTCAAAGAAGAATATTTTCACGCGTGACATGTAGTTAAAAGTTTTTTTTACACGTCTGGTAGTTTGTTACACGGTAACCACATATTCTGTTAATTTATATATTTAATTTCAAAATGGTTGAACATTTAGAGAACCGTGTTCTCTTCCAGATGAAACCAAGAATGTGGCAATTATGAACCGAATGTTCTATTTTTTACTCAAAGTGTATTCTAATTATTTGTCCTTTGTCCTCTAAAGACCAGACATGTGTGGGTTGCTGGGTTACTATCTGATGGACGCAGCGTCTCTGCTGCCTTGTCTCGCACTGGATGTCCAAGAAGGTCACAATGTGCTTGACCTCTGTGCTGCTCCAGGAGGCAAGACCCTGGCTTTACTTCAGACCCAGGCTATAGGTAAGAGGGCCACTCATCTTTTTGTTTTCCTCCTTTAGTGCTGCTGTTCTGTCTGTCGGTTGTAGTTAACCCTCCGTCGTCTGCTTTAAAGGTTTTTTGTGCCTAAATGATGCCTCCGTGTCTCGGACGTTGCGACTTAGAAAAGTCCTTAACAGCTACATTCCTAAGCCGCTTTTAACCGATGACAAACTACGCATCACCTCCTTTGATGGCACCAAGTGGGGGGAAATCGAAAGGAACACTTTCGACAGGGTAAGCCAGTGTCGCGTAATCATATGGCCGGTGCCTGAAATAATGCTGTATTTATCCAAATACCACCACTTTGTCCACGTCCTCTTTTCTATTCGGTCTTCAGGTCCTTGTTGACGTCCCCTGCACCACAGACAGACATTCACTGATGGAGGACGACAACAATATATTCAGTAAGATCAGGACCGGTGAGAGACGAAAGCTCCCGCAGCTACAGCTGGAGCTACTGATGTAAGTTTTGGTGAACATCGTGTGGTTATTTTTATGTGTGGTTACATTTTGTCAATATATAGTAAAGCTACAAGTTAACATGATTATCTTATGTGAAGTGAACAACCCCTTTCTCCATCCTGCAGGGCGGGCATCGAAGCAGCTTGTCCAAGTGGGGAGATCCTTTACTCCACCTGTACTCTTTCTCAAACCCAGAACCAGAGCGTGGTGGAACAGGCAATCTACTTGGCTCGAGAGAACCACGGCATCCAACTTCAGGTCAGTCACGCACACACACTGTCACCGTCAACAAGAAACTGTAAACTATCAATAAGGTGCTGACCTCTGGAATATCAGGACTTCCTGATTAATACCACAGTAACCTAATTACAACTATTCATTTTAACTTTTTATTTTCTTTTTTCCCACATTTGTCCTCGTCGTATCTACATTCAGGTTGTTGATCTGCGACCCCTCACACACACGTGTAGGAAAACCTTTCACTTCGCTCCCGACCTCCACCTGGGTGAGATGGTCATCCCACACTTAGCCGCTAACTTTGGCCCCATCTACATGTGCAAGCTAAGGAGGCTCACATAGACCGGCAACCGCTTTGCCTAAAAGCTTGTGGACAAATGAGATGATCCTCTCGACTCGTCTTTCTGTATAAACTGTGGCTGTTGGAGCACCGTTGAAGGAGAACTTTTCATCATGATGGTGGACTGTTGAAGCACTGGACTACAGTTGGTTAAATGTGACAGAAACACAGTTGAAGGACCATGACATCATTATTGTGTACAGCATTGAACTGCAGTTTTTTTTGTGGAGACTTTTTCACTCAACCAACAGAAAAGCCAAATTCAATTTAGGAGATTCTTGTTTTTTAGAGTCAGTTAAAACTCTGATTTGACAACAGTTTGTTTTTTTGAGTGAACCAGCTTTGAAATGTCTCTTTTTAATTGTAGTTTTACTATTTTACCTGTAGGTGGCAACAGTAGCTCAAGATTAAAAGTATCCTGTGCCCACTAGAGGACCCTACGGATATGTCTGTTAAGGTTATATGTTGACAGGAGATCCAGAATGCATATCCTTCGAGTTCACATTACCCAAACACACATTTCCATTAGAATTACCTGCTCTCTTTAAGCCTCAAATGAAAATGGGGTTGGCTTGTGCCGTGGTTATTCATCAGGTTTGATGGCTTTACCTAATAATGCGATATGTGGGTATATGGAAGGAGGGCATAATGAACAGGCAGGGAATGATGTTTTTGACCATTTGGTTTCTCACATCTGAATCTGTATAACTTTCATTATTAAATCTGGATTGACTCTGTTTTGCATTGGCATCACTCAGAGTTTCCTCTTATCACTGCCTAATGTGAGCAGAGAGGTGCCTCTTTTTCCATCACACCGCCGATGACCCTTTATGTTGTCCTGGCCAGGCAATGTAGCGTGAAAAGTGTGTGTGTGTGTGTGTGTGTGTGTGTGTGTGTCTAAGTGTCTAACGAGTCCACCATCCACACCCCACCGTCATTAAGCTGCTCCAAGTGCAGGAGCCGACTCCCATCCCTGTGCAGGGATGGACGGCAGCCATGCGGCTCCCAGATGAACATTAAAGAGGCAGCAGAGAGCTAAAATGGGACATCTCGCCCTGTTTTGCCCCTCCGCTTTTTTATTCCACAGATGAGTGCAGATAATTTTCGGTGCGATTGTGAGTGATTACTGTATTACTGCGGTAAAAGGGGGATGTATCTGGGAATGCAGAGGGAATTAATGACACATAAAAACTCTTTTTGTGTTGACTGCTTTCGTCTCCAGGGCCTCGAATGCCTCTTCGCACGTCTTGTGATTACCTAAACGTATTGTAAATATGTGTTTCCTATGGGCTCTTACATAAATTTACATGTTTTAACACTCCGGAGACGGCCGACTGTTAGAGATGAGTTACCCTCTATTCTGCCTGTCTATAGACTCGACTGGCTGTCTGCTTCATTATTGAATTAGCCAATGAACCGCTGTGCATTTGTGTCGCTGTGTGTAAGCCTGTGTTAGGGAGACAGATGCTGTGTATTAAAAAGACTACACAACCATGCTGCTGTTGTGTTTTCAAATACAATTCCAACGTTGCTTTTTTTGGTAATAGACATGCAAAACATTGTAATAGTGTTATATATTCACATCATGCCACACAAGCTTCTACTGAATGAATGACCCATTAGTAATGACCTCCATATCAAACTAAGCACCTACAGTACATTGTTAAATGACAGCAGCACGGGAGAGCTACTGAAACTTTAACCTATAAACTAAACTAATCTTTGCTTTGTCTGAATGGGTTGATTACCTGCCACAACTGAAATTAAGGATTCAGTTTAGTGGCCTCAGCACAGCCAATGTAGAGGTGAATATTAAGGTGTCTTTGTTTACTAAGGATACCCTCTGTGAGGCAGTTGTAGTCTGTCTATTTAACGCAGATGCTGCTGGTCCTGCTCTGGTGTTTTCCAGCCCAGAGGTGAAGATGAGACGTGTGTCCCAGTTGGCGGTGGGAGAGGGGATTTCACCAGTGGGGGTCTTTGTCGTGGATGCACTGAGTAGACAGCCACAGGGCAGATAGAAAATGCTCTCTAGTCTTCTTTTTGTTTTTCAGATTACAGTTTTTCAATTTCTGAATTTCTGTTTACCTTTTACAGGCATTCAGCTGTCTTTCAGTGAAAGGATTATTTGAATGACATTTAAGTGAAACTGTTGCAGTACGTCGAAAGACAGAGGAGGTGCAGGTGACATGGAGGTGACATGGGTTGATGTCTTCCCTTCCCCTTCATTCTCTTCAGTTTTCTTTTTTCTTTTCTTCAGGAAACTGCACTAAAGCGATAGATCTACTACCCCGACATTGAAGCTCACAAATAGATTTGCAGATTTACAGGATCTCATACTATACTCTAGAGGACATTTACAGTCTGTCATGATCCCTCCGGTACTGTTCTTAGCTACTTTTGTTCATAATGTGGTTGGCTACACAATCATATATAATTTGTTTACTGTCTAAAGACTTTTCTGTAGCATTCATACCGAGGAAACAATCTTTTTTAACATCTCTGTTTGAAGCAATTGTGGACAATGTTGCAAATCAATCAGCGGGCACTATTTTTTTGCAATAATGTATCTTTATATGATTTTTGTAGCAAAGCAAGGGCTGTCAACGTTCTTCAAAAAATGTTTTGTTATGTTTACTGATATTCTCATTACATCCCGACAGCAATCAATGAATCAGATGCTCTGATAAAGAATAGAAAAAAATGCAACATCTGTGGCTGTCATTCAGCCTGAATGTAATGATCGGACGACCTACTTGCTTGTCTACCCGTCTGTCTATCAGTGCGCATTCTGCCTCATTACCGGAGTCTTCCACAAGCTGCTAGCTTGACAGCTGTGAGTACTAACAAAAGCCAGGTACGTTTTTATACTTCATCTTGATAATTTTGGAGGAATGGCTACATATCGATATGGAGATATGATATTATCTATCGAGTGTGTGTGTGTGTGTGTGTGTGTGTGTGTGTGTGTGTGTGTGTGTGAGATTGTGTGTTTTATTTTATCATTTTAACTACAAATCTGTTCTGGGAAGTACAATCTGGGGACACGGGCCTGAAAAGATATAGTGCATCACATATTGTAGTCTTGCTTTTATTTAACATTTGATGATCTCACATGAGATATTTTCACACTTTTGGCTGCAGTCAATAGCTCAAAGTGCCCTCTCATAACTTCAGACTGTCCTTTAAGGTACTTTAAACAAGCTTTGAATATGAGCCAAAAACTCAATATGTGATCTAAGCATTCCCCGATAGACTCCGTACTCCATGAACTGGCTGAGAGCACTCCTGTTTGGCTCAGTGAAGCCCACATTGGAAATGCAACCGTAGGTTTAGGCTGCAGCCAGATTAAGAAGAGAGAGAATGGGGGTTTTCTTCTCTCTAAGAAGATTACCCAGGGAGGGGCGAGATGGCAGTAAGAGTGTTTAAGAAAAAGAGGACAAGAAGAAAATGGAAGATGAAGTGGAACTAAAGGAGGGTGGCCCAGGACACACCGTTTAGCCACCTGTTGTCTGACGCTTGATATAACTCCTCTTGTTGTTCTCTGTGTCCTGCCATATCCATTACTAAACATATGACGATTAATGTCAAAGTTTAAAAGGTCAAAAAACGAAGGTTTGCATTTCACCCTCAAGCATCATGTATGAGTTTTATTTATTTAAGCATTAAGTTCTCAAGCATGTTTTTGCTTCTTTTTTTTTTGCATGTAAATGTGCAGCTGTGAGCCTCATTGTATTGTGCTTCCCTCTCCCTTAAGTTGCTGCTGGTGGTTTCCAGGAAGGCTTTGATGTGTATCTGGGTAATGCACTATTAGAGGGATTTCCCTGAACCTGACAGCTTAGAGAATATGCAGTGAAATGGCAATGCCAGTAGGCTAAAAGAATGCTGGAAACAGGATTAGGATCATATTCTGGCAGACCCTGTCACCTCCTCAATGGGCCGAGCTTTCTAATGCTGGCACTTTTCATTCTTGCCATGGTTAAAACCTTTAAGAGAACCATGGAGAGGAGGGAGAAAAAAAGCACTGATTGAATGGTACACTGTGATTTTTGTGTGGGGGACTTGCTCCAGGGGTGTGTGTGTGTGTGTGTGTGTGTGTGAGAGAGAAAGCGAGTCAAAGCAAGAGATACAGCAAACTGGTGGGCCTATTTAAATCAGATGCAGACCTTTCTTGTTTCAAACTATGTAAAAACTTTCTGCAGTCTTTACTCTATGGCAGTAACACAAATGTGTACTCTGCAATATTAACATGTATACTTTTATGAAATCATTTTTTGAGAAGTTAGGACAACTAAAATCTTAAAGTAGAACTGTCTGACATGATTAAAGTATTGGGTTAATATCTTCATATTGCTCCCACCATGTATTGGGCAAATTCTTTTCAGACCTCACACACTCAGGAAAGTAGATGGAGATACGTGTGTGCCTATAAATAGGTGGTTATGGGGGTAAAGTGGTGAATATACAGCCCTGAGTGTTAGAGATGGAAGCACCTGATCCAGCATCAAGGGCTCAACACACTTGACCCTGCAGCGGTACAATCTAGCAATCCCTGTTCAACCCCCAGGGCGTGTGTGTCTGCGTGTGTGTGTGCGTGTGTGTTTGGGGGTTGGGTGTTAAGAAAAGAGAGAACATTTGGAACAAGAGAATTGTGTTATTTTCTCTGCTCCAGAGCCCCATGGGAGGAAATCCTGCCGTGTACCTGAACAGATTCCTCCGCCTGGATAACAAGGACATTCACTCCTGCTGCACCACAATCTTATCAGTCACACGACCAGGATGCCCTTGGCTGAGGACACACATGTATGTGGTGTAATAAAACACAAAAAGGTTAGGGTGAGGTGTTACATCCACATTAACGCTGCTAATCTGGCGAGATCATTATCCTCTATCTATCCGCTTGTTGGATAGTGGTCGTTCATAACGCTCTGAGAAATTGCTCAATGCAGCAGGAAAGGTACATTTGTTATTTACACACGCCAAGGGGGAAATATATGTTGAAGGCTGATTCAATTAACAGCAGAGCAATGTCATGACACAGCCACGTAAAGTTTACCGTGGGAAGAGCAAGGGCAGTTTTTGAATATGAGAAGCCTGATTGCCCCGCGTGTGTTTGAGTGTGTGTTTGAGAGTGTGTGTAGGAGCAAGGTTGGGGTGGGGGTCCGTGCATTTTGACAAACCATGCTGTTAAAGATATAATAGCAGCATAATCACCGCCCCAGGCCGTCATTCTTCAGGATAATGGCCTGCTTATTCATTGGGGATGGCTTATGTCTCCATGCGGCTTTTTTATTTTTCAGTTTACGTTGTTCTTTTTTGGTCTCTTTTTTTCCACGTACACTTTGTCTCCCTGCAAATGTCATACATTTTATCTGTATTCTTTTTTTAATTTGTCCCCTAATTTCCTATCCCTGTTTTGTCTTGATGCTTTTCTTCTTGTTGCTGCTTCTTCTTTTCTCTCACCATCACCTTGTCTCCCATACTCATACTATTCTTTAACCTGCGATATAAAACCTGAACTATATTTGACTTGCTTTTAGGGATACTTTACGTTTGCCAAAGTAGAAATCTGTTCCTGCACTCGAGCAGTATCACAGTTTGTGTACTTATGGAAACATACAATCCTAAAGCTTATAGTTACTTCTATTTCTATATTCGTGCTGTTGTTTTTACGTAGCACACCACCCATGTCAGTATTTGCCCATTACCACCCGCACACTGTGTAAATATGCAGCACAGATAGTCTTCATTATAAAGATCTCCAAGCAATGTTTTTATTTGCGATTATTTTACAACAACACTAGTTCAAGTCTACATTGTTAGAGAGAGGTAAAGGAAACAACACTGCTGATGGTCCACTCACTCTCTCCTCAACCATTATAAATCTATCTATCACTGGACCAAGTAGTTTGACAGAGACAGTGAGGGGGGGTGGGGTGGGGGGGGGCATCATTAGAATAATAGCAACAACATAACTCAAATAGAGTCAAGACAGCAGTACACAGAGGACTCAGGTCAATTCACTGAAATCTGTTCACTTTCTTTGACTTTCTGTCTGGATTGCAACAGACAGGAGGTGACAGATTACCGGAAATCCAAATTTGCTCAATTGTTTCTTTTTTCTCGCAAGTGCAGAAACTGAACACATTTAAAATTTGAATTAACCCAGGATCGTTACACAGACAACCAAGGGAGGAGCGGTCGACGGGGCTGCCGGTGAGCTCAGCAAATACATTCTTACATTTTGACAGCTAAAGGAATTTTATCTGAGACAGTCCATTATGAATTATACAACATAATAGGAACTTTACAATTACCTTACCAGTAAACATTAATAGATAGACTTTTTTTTGTTTTTTACATATTAAAATAATGTGCTTTTTTTTCATATGAAGACATTAGCTTCCAAAACACATTAACAGAAAACATCAGAGACGTGTGTGATTCTCGTCATCAAGTGCTATCAGCCAGTCTGACTTTCAGTGAAAAGCTGCATGTGTCCCCCAAGAGAACATTAAGGCGAGAATAAATGCTGACAAAATATGGGTCCAGACATTTATCCAAACGTCCAAATTTGTTTAACATATTTTGTTTTCAAATGAAATTGATCAACTCACGGTGAAGTGAATCATGTTGCTGCCTTAATTGGCTGTTTCGGTGGTCTTAAATGGTATGCATGTTCATAATTGCATTTGCCCCAGCTCCCTCAGCCCGGGGCAAAATGTAATTAAAGGCTTTGAGAATTTAGTCACTGAAATCATGTTCTCATTATCAAGCCAGCCTTCTGTACAAAGTGGCATATTACTGGCCATTAAACTGGTAAATTAGTCACTTTTAATTATGCTGTTGAGGACAACATGACTTGAAGTTTATTTTTTATTTATGTGCTGTTATGTAGTACATGCTATGTACATAACCATGTTGCTTAATTGAAATGTCAGGGGGTCCTGTGACAGAAATGGTCTCTTTGTTGCACAGACGTTTCTTTTTCTCCTGGCCAACGAGCCCAATTCCTTCAAAAGTGCCTCATTTATTCACATTATTCTTTCAAACCGAGTGCATCCATCATCAGCTGTGTAAATCATTTTCAGTGATTATTGTTTTAATTTATTTTAGATGTTAAGAAGGTGCAGCATTGTGTGTCTGTTTGAAACGTCATCATAAGAGTCAGGAATACTTCAACTGTCCTCTGAGTTGGGAAATTAATTTGATCCATTTCATTGTTCTAGCATTGTTCTATATCTTATGGATTCTCTTTTCCCGGGGTTATACTTTTGGACCTTGAGCTGCAACTGAAGCTAAGAGGAGTCAAACCAGCTGTTGAAGTGTGTGTCGGCTTTAAAAAGCTGTTACATGTCGTTCTGTAGGTCCAGTGCATGATGGCATGTTTTATTTTTGGACATCTCTGCATGTCCTGTGCCCATGTACTCGTGAAGGGGTCACTATACGACTCCTAAAGAACGATGACAGACACGCAGTGGGATGGGGTGATGTGTAGGCCGAGGCTCTGGCCTAGTTTACATTGTCGTCCATACGATCTGATTCTCAGTTAGACATTGTGTCCAGTCCCAGCGAGGCAGCATGCTGTTTAGCCCTCAGACGGAGGTTCTCGATGCTTGTGGTCTTGCTGTTGTGGCTGGTGAGGCCGCCTGCAGCCGACGCCTGCAGCAGCGGGCTGCTCCACACCTGCTGAGCGTGATGGGACAGGGACTGGTAGTAGGACTGGCAGGGCAGAGAGCCCAGCGGCGCGGGGGGCATGTTAACATTCATCCCCAGGTAGGGGAGTGAAGATGGGGCCGAGAGGTCAAAGGCAGGGTAGTGCACCAGGTTGTTGGTGGCGGCCATGTGCTGGCGGAACTGCTCCTGCAGACGAAACAGGCTGAGAGGGGAGGAAGAATAAGAATGGCTCTGAGAGAGAGGACCACTGCCGGCCAGGCCGCTGATGGAGGAGGAGGGGGTCACGGACGGAGATACCAGGGGAGATTCTGGACAGAGAGAAGAGGGGAATAACAAAGTTAAATTAGTACAGTCAGCTGATGATTTCAGTCAGGACAGAGATGCCATGAAACAAGTCTGTGAAGGATAAAGACAAGAATTAAGCACCTTGCCAGACTAGAGATCATGTTCTTACCTGGTTTAGGGCTGAGTCTTTTGCAAGCTGGAGAGATGCCCTCAGGAGTCACTGCTCTCTCACACTTTGTCTCCTCTCTCTGAGGTTTACTCTCGTCCTCCTTATCTGTGGCATTGTCCTCCGTCGCTGACTCGCTACCAGAGTGTTCTGCTGACGTAACGTTCAGCTCCATTTCCAGCGGCACAGGACGGACTACTGGACCCTCTGTCTCCAGAGACGAAGAGGAGGAGGACGAGGATGAAGGAGGGAGCTGGGTGTCGGTAAGGATTGTTGTGGAGGGAGGTGCATCCTCCTTCTCGCTTCCTCCTTCCCCCGAAGCCTCCTTCTGCTTCTGCAGCTGCTCCTTCTGGAGGCTGCGCTGCTTCTTGCGGAATTTGGCCCTGCGGTTTTTGAACCAAACCTGGTGGCAGAGGGGAGAAGAGGCCAAGTCAGATGGAGAACAAGCAGAAGGGATGTACAAGAGTGGATGTAAGCTGGACTCGAACCCGCACTTAATGATAGATTTCAGTCAGCATCAAATGATTGAGCGGCAAATGAAACTCCCAAAAAGTCAATAAGTGACATCAATATGGAGTTCAAATTTAAATCAGTTTCAACAAAATTGACACTGTATTTTAGCATATATTGTATTCTATCGGATTACCTTCATGTTCTTTTGTGCATGAGTGAAGAGTTTCACTGTGAGCCAGGCTCAACCCTAGAAATATGTTTTCATTTGTTCCTGTATTGGTAATAATGTACAGTCACGGTTTTCAACTCAAACAAGCTGTGTGTTTTGATTAATGAATCAATAATTTATAATAGGCCTGTCTTTCTATTTTTTTATTCTGAATATTTTTTATATTCTTTACATCCATCAAAATAGTTGCCTCCCCAAAATAGGCTAGTCCATCCCCACATACAGTATTTAGGTTGATACTGGACAAACACTATACAACTTTTGTCCATTAGATACAAAGCCTGCAATCACATAAATAATGAGTTGATATACACAACAAAAACCCAAATGAGCTCCTCGAAACTATGTTGCCTATCACACACACATCAGTAGGTGTTTTGTACACTTCACCGTGTTTTTCCTTGAGTTATAGACATACCTGCACACGGGCCTCGGGCAGGTTGGTGCACATGGCCAGCCGCTCCCTCATCACCACATCCGGGTAGTGGGTCTTCTGGAAAGTCTTCTCCAGCGCTTCCAGCTGCTGTGCGGTGAAGGCCGTGCGACTCCGGCGCTGTTTGCGGTGCTGAGAGCCGTAGCGAGCCTCCAGGATGATGTCTTGAAATGCGCAGTCGTTGGAAAGGAAACACACACGGCAAGTTTATTTAACTGGGCATGCTGGGATATGACACCTCACTTCATTTGCATGACTGTCAGCTGCTATAACACCTTCATGCATTATTAATTATAAGAGCCAAAGAGAAACGTGTGTGAGTGTGCACTTAATTACCAGCTAGTCTCTCTGCCAGTGTGAGCGCGTGCACGGACGGCCGGTAGTCGGGCGCGTGCTGCGCCTGTTGCGCTGCCTGCTGGTGCAGGTTGTACATGGCGCTGAGGGAGTTCATGGCGTGCAGAGAGTAGCCGTTCACCCCGTAGTGCTGCATGGTTAGAGGTCGCTACCTGCGGAAATGAAGAGAGGTTGTGATTTTCAAATAGAAGGAAGGGGAGTTCACTCACGAGCATGTTGCTTTTGAGGGCGCGTGGCTGCTGTTCGACACGCTGAACATGTGATCTCAAACCAACCCACCGTTTTGATAAGAGAAGCAAAATGACATATTTAGGCACTGAGAGGCTGTGACACACACGGGCTTTTTTTATTTTTTAGTAGCCCGAATGACAGGTCCTCGCGCTAGAGGGCCAATAGATTTTAATGTGGGCACTCAGACAAAAGTGTTATCTATTAACATCAAATTATCGCTGTGTTCAATCCATTAATTATACAAAAGACTTTTAATTGGGGTAATTATCGCTCGTGCCCATAATGAACCGTGACGGATGCCTTAGTCGTGAATTTATTCACGTCGTCTCTGTGATCCCGGAGAAGCCAAATCCCCAGTGGAAACGTTGCTTTGACAGATCAAGGCGTTGATGAAATGTGTTTGAAAATTAAATAAAGAGATTTGTTTCGGGTCTCGGTGGCAGAACCTGAAACTGGATAGCAGGATTATTTGTTAATAGGCCATTATTACGGAAATGCTATTCAAGGGCTGTTCAGTTTTAGTGACTCATTTTTTCACTTTCAGTTTTCCTGCAACATTTTACTCTAAACTTTGCAAATCATGTTGTGTAATTTGATGTTATTTATCATTTATAGTTAAGTCTAGAAACTTGCAGCTTTTGATATTACAAACAGATCCATTCCTTCAAGTAAAACCATATCAGAGTCTTTCACATGGCAGCAATTTCCCAAACTTTATTTTGTAGTTCTCCTTCACGACCGAGATTATATGAAGCGCTTGAGGACACGATTAGATATGTATTAGTACGGAGGAGGCTGACAGGAGGGACTATCTCTGAGGCCCAACCAGTTATTATAACTATGAGAGACCACAGGGAAAATATATAAATCTTCCTCCAAATGACAGGTACGGTATCCAGGGAAATGCTGAAGTTCTTGAATTTACGTTTAGGCCGGCTGCCTCTCAATACGTTTGAATTTCCAGGTTATCATTGTCCTAATTTCGTTTTTGTTTTAGCCCATTTAATTTGCCTAATTAACATTCGTCGGTCTATGCAGTAAATGTCAACAATTGTAATGTCAGTATATTTATATTTAAGAACCGGTTAGATTGCTCCATTATCTGAAAATATGCAGGATATTCGTTGTAATTTGAAACTTAATTGATGTTAATTTGACCAAGGTCATACTCTTTTACGTAACCTCATTAGTTAACATATTATGACGACTTGATAATTCATTCAATCAAATGTCGATTTTAACCATTCAATTCCAGTATAAATCACTAAATTATGATACATTAATAATAACTAATGCTGCTACTAATACCAATGCTGTCGATAATAATAATAATAATAATAATAATAATAATACTTTTGAAATTATAATAATGTATTCGTATAGGCAAATTAAGCTGTTGTAAACGTATTTGATAAGACAGAGAAGACCGGGTGCATGGTCATTTTTGGAAAAGCCATTATGTTTTATCCATTTCTCATCTTTTCAGAGAGAGAGAGAGAGAGAGAGTGTGTGTGTGCACTTGTGCGTGCGTGTGTGTGTGCGTGTGTGTGTGTGTGTGTGTGTGTGTGTGTGTGCGTGTGTGCGTGTGCGTGCGTGATGCCCGCAGTGCCCATTCCCAGCCTATTAAGTGGCCTCAGCGGCTGATGAATGTGATCAGAGGGCAGTGGGGAATAGTTTAATTCGTCGGGACAGAAGGTGCTTCGCTAAACATTTACTTTACTCCCCCAAGTATTTGAGTTGAATGGGCCCCCCTCCCCGTCTCCGCCCCCCTCCCCTTCCCCTCTCTGGCGGCCTCTTATCCCATCGCCCCGGGGCAACGTTTTGGCTGAGATGTATGGCCTCTCCGCGGGTAAAAATATGCATGTTGATCCCCATTTGGCTCCCCGTCTAATGGAAGTGCAAATAGGTTTCGACTGCGAGGCCCTCCATTTATCATCAACGCTGACACGGACGGACGTACAGCGGGACTGGGTGGTTAGCTCTGGGTTGGAGTTTGCGCGTGTGCGTTTACGTGCCCGCGTGGGCAAGTGTGTGTGCGCGTGTTCTAGTATTATTCCAACGACTGTTCTCAATTGTTTTTCTCCATTTCTGTTTTCTCTGAAAGTCAAGGTGTCCATGCAAATTGGATTACACCTGAAATCACACAACATGCGAATAAATGTAGCATATCTATTTTCACAAACATTCCTCAAAAGCTACAGAATTGTATTAGTTTACTTGATGGAAATACTAGAAGGTTTAAGGGACTAAAACGTTTCCCATCGATTTTAATCTCACTTTTTGCAAAATGCCATAATCTGCAAATAAAAACATCTCGATCTCAGCAACATTGTTTTAGGCTGTTTGGCCCGCAAGTAAACTTAAAGCCTGCTGCTCGTGATTACAAGCTTTCCCCACCTTTTCTATTTACCACTACACCTTATAGTCTGTATCCTACTGCCCATATCAAATTCAGCACAATAGCTCATCGCTGTGAGCCTGTCAGTGCTGTTATTGTCATTCATAAGCCTCTCTCTGCTCCAGGCACTGGGCCCTCCTGGCAGCCCTGCGCAATGCTTCGATTATCAAACCGTCATTATGTAAATTGGCGTGTACAGTGCAACTCTTTGATCCGACCAAATTAGGAAAAATGTTATTTGCTAACAGCCCTCAGGGGCATGAGTCGACCTGACAATCTGCTCTTTGCTGTGTCACAGTGTAAACTGTCAGAGGGCGAGGGACGTGTCTTTGATTTTCTCTGAGCTGAAGGATGTTTGCTATGAAGCCTGATTGAAATTTAAAGGTATTCGATATCTAATATTTAATTGTCTGTTAAAGCATTTTAAAATCCAAATGTCACTGCGACATATTTATTCTGTAACAATCTGCATACAATACATAACCGGAAAAAAATGGAGGAAAAAGGAGAAAACCCTTACATTCCTTGGTTAGGTAAAGTTGGAAAGATATTCAAAGATTCGGATTTACCGGTTAAATAAATCGTTAGTACATTCCTTGGGTGTGCTTCTGTAAATGTGTAGCACTTTAGGGTAATTCAGATATTTTTTAAATAGTAAACTCCAAAAAAGAGGATCATAAACAGTGTGTCCGTTGTGAATTATCACACAAGGTTACATTTTGGGCTGCGTACTGAAACTTTAAAATACCAGATTTATATACATGTGTTTCTACATTTCCACCAGCGGAACTGCTTTCATCTCCGCTGAAATTAAGTAAAAAATAATCTTTAAAAATCTCTATTGGATACAGGCTACTGTATTTTTTTTCCCACTTACACACACAATAAACGTCATTCTTCAGAGGCACTGCACTTACTTCAGAGACTGGCTGATAAAGCTGCAAAATAGTTCAACATGAACATTAAAGCATTTTTTAACACAGGTTTTAACGCAACATGTGAAAAATACGTTTTACTGAATAAAGAGATAGACGAAAGTTTTTACCTCTTATAAAGACAGTAGTCTTTTCCGTCACTTCGTACGCAGACAATCCTCAACTTTCAGGTTTCTCTTCTGCTCTTGCTGCTGCCTTGCGCTGGACACTTTTCCCGTCCTTTTGTCCCGACAGTGAGACACACAAGTCATCCAGTTTGTTGCTTCACTACAAGTCCGTCCGCTCGCGCTCCACCTGCTCCTCTAGTTGTGAATTCTACCGTCTCGCGCAGAAGTGGGAAGCCGCCATCTGCTGGTGCGAGAGCCCCGTGGAGGGATTTTAAGGAGAGCTTCGAGGGGGTCATGCTGGCTTTCTATTGGCTCTCCGTGCTGTCAGTCGAGTAAATAAGATCGCGGATCGTTCAGCGGCAGACTTCTGGTGTTATTTTCAAACATGATCAATTTAAGCACATTATGTCCGCTAAATCCCTCCGAGTCTGTCCACATGTTTTTTTTATTGACATCGATAAACATCCCCTGTATATGTGAAGATTGACGCTTTTTAATAACGGCTTCGTTTTTGCAAAACATATATATTGATAAGTGATCGATATGATGTAGGATTGATTTTATTTCTTTACGCATCGCAACTTTGTGAATTATTTTATAGGTTATACGCTCAAACTTTAAGCAATTGGTTCTGCAAGTGTTTCTAAATTATTTTATAATATAAGCTAATGAAAAACACTTTGTCAACACATTTTAAACATTGACAACTATGAGGTGTATACTATTATTTTATATATTTTAGTTTTTTCAAATCTACTACAAACTGCTTGTATGCACTTGGATCATGAATCCAATTGCATATCCTTAGTTTTTGTGAGAAAAAAAGCAACCAATCTTAAGTTTGTTTGCTTTTCGGCTTTTTGCTCCATGCCACTGGAGGAGAGAGAGACTTTAGAGAGATGGCTAATAGATGCCAGGGCGCTGCCTTTAGACTCTCCCCCGGCCTGGAAGGATTTGGGATGGGATAGGGAAGACAAGACGCCATCTCAGCCTCCAAAAACCCCTGTCTTAAAATGACTGCGGGTAAGAGGATTAGGGCAATAATGCCCTTCTCTTCTTGAAGGGTTTTTAGAGAAGATTTCTTCTCCCGGAGCAAAACCGTTTAGGTAGGGAATTAAGGGCAGCGCAAAGTAGCCTTTTAATGTAAAGCTTGCATATTTTTGGGGGAGATTCTTTGGGAAAGTACTTGGCCTATAACGCAGTTTTATCTCTGACCATGTTTCTCCCTGTGAACACATTTGAACAGTAGACAAAAGATTTCATGGAATACAGAATATTTGTGTCCATGCGTTTTTACGCATTAAGACTCCACCCAGACGCATTGTTCAAAGACAATCAGGGGTTTGTGGACATTAAATGTTATGTGTGTGTGTGTGTGTGTGTGTGTGTGTGTGTGTGTGTGTGTGTGTGTGTGTGTGTGTGTGTGTGTGCTCGTGAGAGAGAGAAATAATGTGTGTGGGGGGGGGAGGTGTTTTTTATTTTATTTAAAAAATATATATTATAGTTCATATAATATCCAAGTTAACACCACTCAAATATTGTAGTTTAAATGATTACGTTACATTAGATACAAAACGCTAAATATATAACGAAATAAACGAAGAGAAAGAAATGAACATGATTGTAACTCTTGCGGTACATTCTTGATACGAAACAACCAAACAGCAACGTGAGACTTTCGCTGTTATCACAGAGTCTAGACGGATTATTCGATGTGTTTATTTGCTCCAACGTTACAAAAATATAACAATATATTTGTTTAACTGTGGTGATATATAGGGTTCATTTACAGTTTTTGGGGCAATAAAAAATAAGTAGGTTTATTGTGACAAAATATTATTATTATTATTATTTTCATTATTATTGTGATTATTATTATTAGGCCTAACTGACTGGTTTAATTGATTTATCGAAATATTATCTCCCTGGTGCGTCTTTACTTCTAAATCTGTTTGTTTTTAACCACATAAAACTTTTTTCATGTGTGCTTCAAAGTCTTTTCCCATCGTCTGGAAAAACTCGTGTGCCTCTCTGGTTTCTGTCGCCTTGGTAGGCTCACTCGGTTTTTCTCCGAGGTCTGAGAAAGAAAGAGGATTAACTTGTGAACCAATGGAAATAAGAACTTAAACGGGAGGTAAATCTGGCCACTGTCTCTTTGTGAGGACCGTCTCTAAAGCAATTAAAGCGAGAAAGAGTTTCTTCTCAGCGCCTCTCCACCTAAAGCTCCTTAGTGCGACTAGAGCTGTCCAGCGCATCTGAAGGGCTTAAACGCCAAAAAACAGCTCCCCTTACCCCTGTACCCAGCCATGCATGCTGAATATAAGGTGGGTAAACAATGACCTCCAGTTGACGAACAACCCTATATTAAAAAAAGAGAAAAATGTTAATTTGACAAAGGAACTTGAGTTGTTGGGATCTTTTAACATCAGAAAAGTGAGTAAAGCCTTAAAACGTCTGGTCCAAGATATATCTCTGTTGTATTGATCTCATGTCAGGTTTAACCCTTTAGAAATCATTTTCTTACCTATTGAATAATTCATACAGATATCCAAAGTGTACTTTCTCCTCTTGTCTCCGCCTGCATTTGATAGATGTATGAAAACCAAAACCATCTAATGCCGGTGAATTCTGCTCACTAATAGCTAATTAATACTCTTAATGATATTTCTGCAACTTCATGAATACATTAGGTCTGCAATCCAGCAAGCCTCAGCCTCCCTGGCACCATTCAAGGGTATTTCAGCATCTGTTCATCCCAGGGCAATTAATCATTTTGATGTGTAGTTTAAAATCGACTTCTTGCGGAGACCTTTTCTGACAAGAATAACAAAGCAATTTGCCAGAAGCCACTTCTTAGACACGTTATTAGCAGCACTTCAACAGTAAGACCCGCTTTCCTATTTATTAAAAAAAAAAAAAAAGTGAGATAAATGAATTTAAAAAGACAGCAACAGTTTTTTTGCTTTATTGTCAGCACCAGGCCTCTGAATCCTCCTGAAATCCCTTCGATTGGTGACAAGATCTCAGGATCTCCTCTGCAAATCCCTCCTCTAAAAGTTTTCAACCTGTCAGTTTCCTCTAAAAGCTGTATAATTCCCTCTCTTTTTTTTCTCTCCATCCTTCTCTCTTTCTTCTTGCCCTCTTTTCTCCCTTGTCTCTGTCCTTCTGTCTCATTTCTTTTCCTTGCCTTCTCTCCTCTCTCTCTCTCGCTCTCTCTGGCCCGGATCCCTCTGCACAAGGGGCCCCATTGTATAGTCCTAATCCAGAGGCAACACAGCTTTAGGGACATGCAGGGATAAAAGGCCCATTAAGCCCACAACTTTATGGGGGCAAATCTCTCCCTAATCCTTCGCTTTATCTAAACAAAAGCCCCTCTGCCTTAATCCACCTATGTGTTGAAAAAAGAGAGGAAAAACTGGAGAGTGAGAGAGAGAGAGAGAGAGAGAGAGAGAGAGAGAGAGAGAGAGAGAG